TTTTTTTGTTTTTGTTTTTACATTATGTGCTTTGTGCTGCCGATAGCAGCGTGGTTGGGCGGCGTCACAAAAATTTGACTCACTCGCTAGCGTTTTTAACTTCTTTCGGCGTCAGTCGGCACCACAGATCAGTGGTCGGCACTCATGGTCTACCCGGGAGAAAAAAAAGTACGAGCTCAGAGCCGAGCGCCGATCGCGACTTGCCTAAAGAGAAGCTCCGGTAACAGTTCGGCGACTCGTCAGCTTCAAACAACGCCTCTTCGAACGAGCCCGCGAATCCAATGCCTCGAACGGTCGCGGCGGCAAGCACGCCGGAAGGAAGGGGGCTGGAGGCGCTCGAGAGGTATCCGAAAGAGACGCGGCGCTGGTTTCTACGTCTATTTCGCACATGAGATAAGAAGATAGCAAAGCTAGGCGAGTGTAACACTGACTGACGTTACATTGGAGTACACGCAGTCGAAATGAGCCCTGCAACAGAGCACAGCTAGAGGCTTTCAACAGGGGACACGAGCGTTAAAATAAGAGTAAAGCTATACGCACTCCGGAGTGCGCTTCGGACGGAAATGGCTATACGCACTCCTCGGAAAGCTCATGCCGTTCGGGCCACCCTTTTCGGACGACGCGTGTATCACTGGGGGGCTCGTTAACCCAGCCCCCCGCCTGCGTTCACGCCGCTTCGCGGCGACAGTATGCGGCTGCTAATTACAAAACTTAACCAGTACACGCCGCTTCGCGGCGTTCAGCCGGCAACCCAAGCCCCGCTGCCCCGATCGCACCGCCGGAAAGGGGTCCCATACCATTTAGTTCCGCGAAGTTTCGTCGACAACGAAATTTTTAGTGTTCATCGCATAAAAGAAATGTAAATATCGCCCAATGCCTCGACAAAACAAAATGTTCGAGAAAACAGAAAAAAAAAAAAAAAAAAGTCGGCCGACCGCAAATCGAACCCGTGTCCACATGCGTACGAAGCAGACACCATAACCACTATGCTATGCCACCGCTGAGAAATCTGCCAGTGACCATTCTTTCTATACGAGATTAGCGGAGTGCGTATAGTCATTTCCGTCCGAAGCGCACTCCGGAGTGCGTATAGCTTTACTCTTAAAATAAGCTGCGATTTCAAAACATCAAGTCTCTTTTCTGTCCTTCGGTGTTTACTTTGATCAGTGTATACCAAAGCAAAGCACTCGATGCTGCAAGTAATAAAGTCGTGTATACGTACCTTTCGAAGCGATTGAAAGTGCGTTGGTTTCGCTTGCAGCTCACAAGCAAGGAGCACTGTCTGTCGGACTCGCGTGCTCGCCATGCTCGCGTCTCGACGGGTCGCGCGCAGCAGTGCGCATGCTCGGCGCACGGCGGCACGGCGGCTTGGCCAGGCTCAACTGGGCTCGGCGGCCCGGCTACGTAGTCAGGCGGCTTGGCTCGCTCCCTCCGAACTCCAGCTGGTGCGCGCGCTGGTTGACGACTTCTCAAACAACGAGGCTGTAACGTATCGTTTGACGCCGCAAATGCACGTATTTTCCACGTCGTTTTCTTTTTTTTTAACAGTGTGTGAATCGGTGAGATGAAGATAAAGAGTGGTAGGGGAAATGTGTTCGCATGTGGTCGTGGATTTTGTTAACGACGTAGGATTACCCCGAAAGGTGGGTCAATATCGAGAAATGTGCGCGTAAGATCTGTCAAACCTATTCACCCTCGTTATTTTATCGTGCGCTGCGAACCGACATTGTCACGGATCGCGTTCGATTTGGGTTCGAACACCGGTAAACCATTTTTTGTTGCATTACAACGACTGCAATAAACATTTGTAAAACGATCACTTCCATAAGAACGTCGTTAATGGACTTTTTCATTGAAAGGTAGGTCGCGGGTGTACCAGGTAGTTATTCTGAATGGTTTGGTGGTTATCCAGCATTTCAAGCACGCAAGACTGTGTCTACTGTGTGCCGTACCAAGAGCTTTATATACTTGCACTGTCAATCAATGTTCATGTTTTCGCAAGGCAGAACGTTTGTGTTAAAATATCTTTCTCTCGCGTGTTGCCGTGTGGTAACTCGTGCAGTTTTACGATATCATTCACGCGATGTCATACATGTGGGCATACCGATATCCACATGTTGCTTCACGAACGCTGAATATCGTGTTACGTTTTCTGTTGTTGGTAACTTGGTATCCGTTCTGAGATATATGCACGCGATATCATATTGGGCCCGTGATCGACGACCGATATTTATATATCGTGAGGCCGTACAGTATGTCCATATTGGTGACCAAAAGGCACGCGATGTCGTATTCTATTCCAATAACCAAGCATTATCGGGGTATTGTGCTCCAATATGGTGTCGTAACCACAAGTTCTATCGGGATATTGTGCTTCGATATCGTGTTGTGTACCAATAACCGCAAGTTCTATCGAGATATTGTGCTCCAATATCCTGTTGTATACCAGTAACCACATACTATATCGGGATATTGTGCTCCGATATGAATTCCCATCGTGCGTATCGCGTTAATCGAATAACAATAAGATTTTATTGGTTTCCATCAACTTCATTGGAATACAATATTTCCAATAAGCCGAGTTCATATTGGCCTTTTTCAATAGGAGGAAAGTAGCTAGTTCATTTTAAATGTAGCCTATAGTTTTATATGCTTGTTTCTTGTTTTTTTAATATAATGCTAATCACATTGGAAGTAAAGAATAACATATCATTTAATCTATATTTGATTTTGCTATGGTTTAAAGGGTTAATTAATTTACCCACTCCCGATACTATAGAGTAAATCATGTCTTCAGTAATGTATATGTTAGAACGAACGGTGTTTGCTTCTTACCAGAGAGTGACGTTTGGCATTTTGTGCAGTACCTACGTTTGCAGCAACCATGCGTAATGTGCGGCGGTTAGGGTAACACCAGCTCAGTCAATTCGACCTTTTCGTTCGCCATATAGAAAAGGGAGAGAAAAAAAGGCGATGAATGATATTATCTGAAAGGTTCTGATAGAGAAATGGTATTAAAGTTCAAATCATTATACTGGACGTAAAAGTCACTAGTGCATACAGAAAGAAAACGCGTGATTTCTTTAAAGGTGAAACGGCCTCCCTCACACGCCGTTCGATTTGCTACGCATCGTGATTCTCGTGCTTACGGCGTAGTAGAGTGGTTTCCCCTAAGTGGAAGACCGATTTCGACGTGAAAAAGTAATTGGAGTAAGTAAACTATTTTTTGACAATACGTGCACTATTGTACTCCCTGAGAGCTTCCATAACATACATAGCAATTAATAAAAAAAGAGAATGATGCTTTCTAACATGCGAGAGATAGCACTGTGCAAAATTTAAAAAAAAATGCAATCGTTTTTTTTTTTTTTTTTTTTAATTAAGATTATGAAGTAGACGATTACGTATTTTTAAGTGCACAATGAGGACGATCACAGGAAGCCATACCGGGCACGGTACCGAGTGACCGCGGCACTAAGTTCTAGCCCTGGACGTCAATGCCTCGGGGGTGGCAACCGCCCATTTCGGCTGGGCCACCTTCTGGAGCCGGAGAGAACTCATATCTTTTCCCACCGATCCCTCCGCTGCGTGTGAACCGGGGCTGTGCTACTCGAGTAGGAACTGCGCATTAGTAGAGTAATTTAGTCGGGGCGGATGCCTTTCGCAGTCAGATTGTATGCGCAGAAGGATTTTAAAAACAATAATGCAGTGCCTCCTCCCCCCCCCCCCCCCCCAAAGAAAAAAAATATAAACATAATTTTAGATTTCAAATTACTGCGCCACGTCTAAGATATCCTATTATTTTGATAGAGAGGGCTGCTCGTTAAAATCCCCAATCAAGTGCCAGCACTGTCCGTGTAATTGAAATAGGTAATATTTTACTTTTCCTTATGTAGTGTAAAGCAGCTAAAATCAAACTTCACGTTAAGCGCGGGCTTGTGTCTTCGTTTACAAAAGCGGCAAAAATACATTTTAAATCTGGTACCGCATTTATAATTAAAAGGAAAAAGCAATGGAAAAACAGTTAGCTATAGTGGTTTTTTGGGTCCTCTCTCGCTTTTAGCTGTCATAAAATATCCATATCTACTACCAAGCATACAAAGATTGTAAAAAAAAGTCTTACTACCGAAGTTTTGTTACGTTCTAATGAAAAAAAAAATGGTAGGGGTTTGATTTTTCTTAGATGTTTTTAGAAAATAAAATGAGGTGAAAGTTTGACGGGCGCCGTCTTCGCCATCTACTTATCAGGCTCGATTGACGGAATAACCGTAAAGGTTAGCCGACTAAATTATTAAATGTGTTCATTAAGTTTCTAATGAATATATTTATCGGTCATGCTGCAATTGCAATATTGACGGAAAGTTACTATCAGAGGCCCGAACAATTAGAATAATTTGCGACGAAGGTAATAGCATTTTTTACATATTTATCATTCAGTTTTCGCATTTCTTTAGATAGATTTCCAGTATGGTGCGCATGGTGACATCCGCAAGCCATGCCAACAGTGACGCTTAGAAGACGACGCTGTCCTTTCAGCCACGTCGTCGCTACACTGGCAGTGCGCCGTCGGCTCATTCACCAAGAACGCGCGGCCGAAATAATGAATCGTAGCAGTATACCAAATGCATATAGACTTCCTGCGACATGTCGGAGTTGCAGAATTTCACTAATCCTGGTGACATTTCTCTTTTTAATGCAAAAGAAAGTGGACAAATAAAAAAAAATAATTAAGGAAATCATTTGGCTAATGTCAGCCGGAAGTACCGCAATTAAAACAAACTTAATAAATATAAACAGTTCACAACATTAAAAGCAATAAAAAAGCAAAAAGGTGAGGCCTGAGCTTTTACTACGTCTTCCTAACAGCGTGAAACCGGATATTATTGCAGGTGGTGAGAAGTAATTTATTTCATGAACATTCTGGTATAAAAAAAGTGAAAAAAAAAGAGTTGCGCTCAGAAGAGGTCTTTTGAAGACGAAGTGAATTTCGTTCTGTTACTACGCTTTGGGAACGTACCAGGCGCAGAGGTGAGTTCATGTTTTATACGATGTTGGTGCTGAAACATTAACAGAAGTGTCAAGCATATTAAGAAGTTGCTACATTTTAGGGCATCTTTTTCTAACTTCTAATCAGTCCTTGAAAACGAAGGAACGCTTTTCGCCGAATATTCGGTATCTGATACCACACCAGTTCTGAACAGAAGGGTGGACCATGAATTGTTGGACGACTGCACGGATCTTCATTATGTCAGCTCTAATCTGCTCCACGACTGCTGAAACCAAAGGTATTGCGTATTAATTTGCAAATAGCTAGACCATTTAATTTTTGTAACCGGAGAAGGTATTTCCCAATCCATCAGCAATTAAATCACGAAGGTTTGCAAAAAAGAATGCGAATATTATTGTTACTTTTTTTAGCCCAATTACCTATGTAGTTCAAGAAATCGCAAATGTCAATATATAAAATCTGTCTGGATTTTCCAAATAATTGTTTTTTTTTGGCAAAAACAATATTTTGTGTAAACTAGAAGCCCGGCTCATTAACAAAATCCAGAGCTCGAGTTAGTGTATACTTTGTTTTTCTCTGAACAGTCATGAACAATAATTTTGACTATGGCGGTAGTGTTTGAGCAATTTGTTTCGCAAAATGAAGCTCCGACTAAAGCGATTATCCGAAGAACCATATTTTATAAACGGTATCAGACAGTTTCGATAGATCGGGTTGACGTGAAGGTTAGAAAGAAAAGAGAACGAAACGGGCATTGCAACTTTTATTATAGGAGTGTATCAAGACCGACCTCTATTGGATCATCCGTAGTTCACTTAGAACGGCACTCATTAGACGCGAAGAGCCACCCCAATGTGCGAAAATGTAAATTTTGCTTAACGTCACAAATATTGTCATATATGTAATGTAAAGTTATCAATAATATGTATGCATAATTAGACCTTCAAAACATGACGGTTTATAGCCTAACATCAATAAATATTATTTACTTTCAAGACTGAAAAATAAAATCTAACGAAATAATATCATTAATTTCAACATCAAAGTACCTTCCTCATTAACATTTCGTATGACAGCGTGCAATGGTGAATCTAAATGATGCTCGAAATCTGTCCTTATGTTGCATAGCACCCAAAATTCTGGCTACGTGGCATTGCGCCACGTAGCCACAACGATGATGAGTGATACCAACACGGGAATAGGTAATTCGTAGAACCAGGTGAAATGGCTAAACGGGATTGGGAAGTGAATCTGTAGTTGAAAATTGGCGGATGAATCTGTAGCTCATACAATTGCGCGAGATTCGTCAAAAATGGGCGATTGCATATTAGCGTTACTTTTGGGAATCAATGCACATGGCTTCTGACTCCAGGATGTAAAAATAAAGTTTTGTCAAACTAAATGTTATGTTTTCTAATAATAGCGTACTTTTGTTAATTTCGCCAGTGTTCAAAGTGCCAGGTTTGTGCTCACTCTCAAGACAAAAACTTGTGTAATTCTACCGTTCGGCTGTGATTGCTGTGTTTATTATTGCGAGCAAATATAACAAATGATGCCGGCTGAATTGTCTTGGACAAGCTAGCCTAAATCACGAATGTTGTTTATCTTATTTCCACCCGTAAAAAAAAAGAAATGACGACAACAACAACGCATATTCTACATTCTGAACTTCCGTGGCGTATTAGTGCGACTGAAAGCTGGTACTTGGTGATTTGCAAGTTCATCGGATGTGCAGGAAGCCTAAAATATAAGTTGTAGATTGAATCTTGATTCATGTCAAGTTGGAAGCTAATCAATGATAATGTAGTGATTGCGCAGGCGAGCTGCTGGATGTTAACCATATTGTTCTTGGCCCGAGACTGAGGCAGGAAAAGAGGAAAGTTTAAAAGTAGAAGAAAAATTAACAGTCGAAGACACGTCTCGAACACAGCTAAAGACAAGTTTATTTGCTCACCCTCTTATATACACTCCACGAACTGTCATGAAATTCGTAGAGTGTATATAAGAGGGTGACCAAATAAACTTGTCTTTAGACGTGTCCTCCACTGTTCATTTTTCTTCTACCTTGAAACTTTCCTCTTTTCCTGCCTCAGTCTCGGGCGAAGAACAAAATGGAAGCTAATGTCGTCTGATCGGTTCGCTGCCCCTTGCAATTATCTCAGTCTTGCGGTAGTGTACCGTATCCAGGCTCCACTACAGGAGGAAACCAAAACGACAATACTATATAGAGACTTTATGAACTTCTAAATGTGGCAGCCGACGTTTTGACAAGAAAAAGTTTCTAATGTCGCTGAAATAGCTAAGTTTCTTACTGCAACTTCTGGTAGGACTCCTAAGGTTCCATAGAATTAATTTGCTTTTTTCCTTGTTACTCTAGACCTCGTGTCTCCATAAAATCCAATTTCATACATTCAGGTTTCTTTAAAGATTTTCTACCTGATTTGATGGGTTCCGCGCTTTGCTTAAACAACAATAAGAAAAAAAAAAGACTTAAGCTAATATAGCCATCGGAACTACGGCTGCCCAAGTGATTGATTAACCTTCCGACTAATTTAATATTTGTTTAATCCCAATTGCTTTTTTAATGGTTAAAGGGTTGGGTTTCCAGTATAAAATTTCGTAAAGAAATATAGAAAGCCCAGTTATTATTTTACGAGGCAGCACTGTTTTATTCCAAGACAACCCGATTTAACTTTTTATGAGTGAAATTTAGAGTGAATAAATATTTTTGAATATTAACTTTAAAATATTTATTGAAATTCAGTGCCCGCATCTTCTATGTTTGGAGGACTATTGCGAAGAAGCCGCCGTGTAACCGAGATTTCCATTGGATGGCAAACGATACAAGATAGTCGAAATTGATCTTTAATCCTACGCTTAGCCATGCCAGATGCTTCCGCCACCCCCACCCCCCCCCCCCCTTCTCTCCTCCCTCCCCCCCCCCCCCATCTGCCTTTCCCACTTGGTGGGCGAAGAATTTCAAATAAGGTAAATGAGGTACGCCACTCATAACATAGCAAGAAACAGTGAAGCAAAATAGTTTTGCCACTTTTTAGATAATATGCTTGGAGATAAATATTGTAATCAATGCCCAGCCCTAATTCGAACACGTCTACTTTTTCTTTCGCATTTTAAACATTTGTAACGATGGCACAGTTGCTTTGGTGGTCTGCAATTTCAAATGACGCTTCTGCCGCCAGGGATACAAAAATCTGCAAAGCAAATCAGTAATAGAGGTAGTTTGGCTGGTTTTAATGTTTATTTGCGTGACAAACACTTATGTTTATTACCTTTTTTCTTGCTTAATCAAAGTGTTTCGATTATAATGATCAGTACGAGCTTAGATTTATTCAGGTCCTTTGACGTCATGAGATCACGTGTGGAGCTACGCTTCATTTGAAAGCCAGCTTCACGCCCCGACAATCGCTCCCTACCGCAAGCTCAGTTGAGTCGTACTTAGTCGAGCTTCTTACGCTTCAGTTTGCCTCCTAGTACTGCTAAGCGCAGATATAGGCTTGCGGAACGCTCGGTGCGGGGTTCGATTTCCGCTGCGCCGCTTGGTAAATCTCGATAATTAATACGTATAAATAATTACAGATAACATGCTTCTATATGTTTTGCATGCTTGTACGCGTCGCCTTCATGTTGACTAGGTGTAAGTTGTAACGGCTTTTTCCTTACTCTTGAGCGTAGCGCTTTTTGCATGACATCCAGTCTGTTAAAACGTTCTTTAATAAAACTTTACATAAATAGCTCAAGAGATTACTTCAGAGGCGAGAAATGCGCGGAGGTGTCGATGTTTTGCATGGCTATTGTTTATAACTTCTTTTTTTGGTGTCATGAGGTCGGAAACTAATGCTTCCACGTGGGCGCTATAAATAATTTATGCGTCGGATGTAGTACCGAGAACACGCCACCCGAAACTGAGGGGAAGGTGAAATTATACCAGAAATATTAATGTACTATTTTGCCTAGTGCATACCAAAGCAATCAACGTAGAGGCATGGATGACAAACTAAACTTTGATAATGGTTATCCACCAACATAAAAATATTTATGAATTTCCAAACTATACTTTGCTTCGCCATAAGTGCGAAGAAAGAAGCTGCAAGGGAGACCGAAATGCTTTGAGCGGATGTGCTATGCGGGCGCGCTCGCGAACTGAAAAAAGTGGTTCGTGACAACATACTTGTGCTCGTAGCGCCAGTTTCGCTTACACTTGTGGTGAAAGAGAGAGTGGTGGGTGTTTTGTGGTTTCGCATTGCGATAAAAAAGTTTCCAGGAAAATGTAACGTATATTAACTAACAAATGTTTTCACCTTCCAATGGTACTGGCAAATGCTAAAAAGCAAAACTGGTGGGCTTTCTTCTTTCAGGAGAGGACGATTTGTGCAAGACCGCTGACTGTATAAGACTGGGTACGAACGCACGTGATTAGTGAACGGATACTCTTATCAAGTTTCTGGGATAATAAGCGTATCTAATACTTTTGCAGGTTTAGAGCTTAGTGATGCTATTAACGCATCTGCAGATCCATGTGATGATTTCTATGACTACGTTTGCAAAAAATGGAAGAATAAGACCCAAATTCCGCCTTATTTGCCTAGCTATGGACACCTGTGGTTGATACGGGATGAAGTGGCCAAGAAAATTAATGGTAATTAACGTCTTCAACAAACATCTATTTTGTGTGTGATCAAACTGGAAAAGGAATTAAGTCAAATTTATACATAAAAGGTTCCACAGAGTTTTCACAATTAATGTCACAGATGAGGAAGACAGGATGCGGAGAAACCGGTAATTATTCTCACCATTGATGAACTTTCAAATGATAATATTAATATTTAAATGTCTGGAACTGAGGCATCACTTTATTTACGTCATGTTACTAACCTGCTAAAATATTTTTTCTCGTAATTTAATTTCTTGTATTTGTTTTTATTTATTGTCCCCGACGGACATGTAACGTGCAGACGCGTTCAAAAAACAAAATGGTCTTTCGATTAAAAAAAAAAAGGCCCATTGGTGGATCCTCAAGCCGGGGTCACACTGTTCATACATCATACAGAAGACGGTCTGCAAACACTAGTCACCGCAATATCCGAGGTTTGGAATGCCGCGTGCCAAGTTTTCTCCTTTAACTCATTGCCATGCAGCATTCGAAGCACGAATCTCGTGGTGACTCCCATTTGAATTTGTTTTCAGACTGTTTTTTGTATGATATATAAGCAGTGTAACCCCTGACTTTAGGAAATACGTTAGCATGACCACTGGGAAATGCCTCACAGGTCTCCTTTTCGGAAATGCTAGCGCCTACCCCATCACCTTCCTGTTTTGGCTTTCTCTTTTGGCTTTCTCCTTTATTTCCTCTATATTTTCTTATTTGCTTCGTTCCGGGTTCAGTGTTAGCGTTTCTCAAAGGGAGACGTGTGTGGCGCTTTATGCTAATGCATTCCCTAAAGGCCCCGTCGCACTGAAGCAGCAGTTGAGCAAGTCTATCTGGCAACATGACATAATCGTGTTGCCGGCGACCCTGTCACATTGTGGCAACAACAACAGTCGGGCAACATGTTGCTGCCACCCGGCAACCGTGTTGGCCGGTTTGTTGTCCGACCACTCTGTCGCACCACGCTGACGGCGGGGACAACTCGGGGAACACATCACCATCTTGATTGTTTACCTCGTTAGTGTGTGGCGTGGCGTCGCCGGAAATGTCACTCCACAAGGTTTTAGTGCGTTCGAAGGGCCCGAAATTACCACAGTACGACATCCAACAGTGATTGTGATTAGAAAACTTGACACGGGGAGTATTTTTCACCCTTTATTTTATCAAAATGTTTTTTATTCGCTGACAAAGCAGATAGCCCTTACCGAGGAAAGTGAGATCGCTGATATATATTCGGGATTTACGCGACCGTATGAAGTGTTTCTGTCCGGTTCTCTCTTTCTTTGATTCTTTTTTTCTACTGTAAAATTGAGGTAGTACAGGCAGTACCCCAAAGCGCCTTTGGTAGCGTGGTGTTAAGCTGAACTGACAGTGCTTCAAAACTGCCACACCGACACTATCGGCCTTCATAACAATCGGTGGATAAATATTTTTCAACGCTGTCTATTTGCCTATCGCCAGCTATCTGATCGCTTAAGTCCCCAAAACGTTCTGGCAATTTTTTTAAACAAATCAGGTGTCTGGTAGCTGCTGTTTCTAAATTCCAAGCATCAATAATTATAATCAAAGTTGTCGTTTTAATGCATCGACTTTTTAATATTTGCTTTTCCGGATTATTTATATCTTATCAGCGGGTGAGTGGACATGCCATTTTGTGTTATAAGCAGTGACGTGAGGTGGTTTGTCGGTACTTCTAATTTCATCACACTTTTAGACGTTCACTACCGTAGCTATGGCCATTTCGACAATCGATTTCCGTAATTAAGCAGTAAAAACATCCATAAAATGTTTTTAGCTGCACGCCAGCCCTAATTATTGTTAAATAGCGTTTTTTCAAGCCTTTGAGTAAGACGTTATTGATAAGGGACCAGCTCAGCCATCCAAGGTATCTATGTTGTCGTGTTACAGACTGAATTGTAGTTTGGAAAGCGTGGCTCTAATGCGGAAAAAAATACTCAGTTAATATGAGTCCAATAAACATGCATTTTTATGTATTCTATATATAACAAAGTGATAAAGAAGATATTCATTATTTTTAAATGCATAAATAAAACAAACGCGTAACCTAGATTATTATTTTTATTTTTATTTTTTTTTTGCGTTCCACAGAAACTATACGTCACAAAGAAGTAAAACAAGAGAATCAAACTTTCGAGGACAAGATTGTGATGGCCTATAACTTGTGCATGAAGGGAGGTGAGTATTCAAAATAAACATCTAAAAGCAAAAAACAAAAAAGTGATCGCGGAAGTAAAAGTAACTTTATTTAACGGCAGATATACTTTTCGACATTCCTCCTCGTTTTTTTATTAACAGGATTATGGCTCGTGTGGCCGAGAAAACGATGTGCAGGAATTTTAAAAAGCCCACGACGTTCACGTGAAACGGTATGTCACGTGCAAAACGGAAGCGGTTAAGAATCTTGACATGAAATATCAATGAAAGGTCGCCGCATGTCTGAAATGATTTCCCTTTATGAAGTAATAAAGTTCTCTTAAAGATAAACTTGAAGGATTTTAGGCAGGATTCGAACCCATGACACTCAGGTTGCGAGGCAGACGCTCTACAGACTAGTTCACGCAAGGCACGTTCTTTTTTTCTTTATTGGACACAACAATTGCAGCATAAAATGCGATGTCAGTATTGCCGCAGATGCCCCAAGCACTTCTGGGTTCACTAAAACTCTTTCATGTTTTGATTGCATGGAACAAATGCGCCCAGTCGGGTGCAGTGTCGGCAGACCTACACTACACAGGCTCGACCTGAGAGACAACATCAATGAAGTGTCTACGTACAGGTTGGATATGCGGGTCGGCATGTCGGAACTCTTGTCGCGTTTTCCACATGCTGAATAAACCAAGCAACATGAATTGGTTATAAGGGACAGTGTCACCTTTCTCAACTGGCAGGTAATGAAGAATTGTCACACTGGTTATGCACATATCTTTTTTCAACGTTCGTTGCAGAATGTCCCAGAAAAAGACCGCGTCCCAACAGTAGATGAAAATATTGTTCAATTGTTTCGGGCGTCTTACATATGAGGCAATCAGCAGACCACGGCACAAAGATCCCCTTCTCCCTGAGCCAAAATTTAACCGGCAATGTGCCACAGTGCAGCTTAAAAAAGAAAGACTTAACCGCTGGCGGGACGCACATTTTCTTCACTCGACATAGCACATCTTGTCCTGGACACAGGCTGTAAAGTGAACGATATAAAGGCGCAGGGAAAAGAAGCTCCACCAGGTCGCAACTAGCCTTTTTTTCGTTACATCGCCAAGGTATTGCATTGAAAACCGCGCTTGTACAAACATGGTGGCATCTCTTACTTCTTTCAAAAACCCGAAGAGACATTGAGGCCCAGTACAGTCGCTCGTGACCAACATAGCAGTTAGGGAGTTTGCCAGTTCCACCTGGATTGCTGTGCGCAAAAAGGGGTGATTCCGGTCACGTAGAAAAAGGGATCGCAAAACTAGCTGCCTCACAAAGAGATGCGTGAGTCTCGGCACACCTGACTTGACATGACGGAAAAGGTTATCCCTCCGCATTCTTTCCCAGCCCGATTTCCAAATAAAAGTTGTGAATACCCTATGAAATTTCTGGATATTTGTACGCACAGATACGAGAGCTTGCAACACATACCGAAGTTTCGCAACCAGAAAGATGTTGCAAACTGTGGCCCGAGCAAATATGGATAAATCGCGATTAGCCCAGGTTGACACCTTTGCTAAAGTTGAAGCCTGGGCGAGTTGGTATGACATTCTTAAAAGGTTAAAACAGCGCAAAAAACGACGGACAAGGTAAAGAAGGACGCGGACAGAGCGCTGTCCGTGTCCTTCTTTACCTTGTCTGTCGTGTTTTTCGCTGTTTTAACCTTTTAAGAATGACACCTTTGTTTTTAAATCGGTTGCCATTTCAGTCCAGTATGGTGTACTAGTCTTGTAATATTGCAGGGGTACTCCGAGATAGGTGGAGGGAGTACTACTCCAGCTTATTCCTGCAAATGTAGGAGGTTTTGAGGCCCAATCCCCATGCCAGAATCCACAGCATTTCTGCCAGTTTACAGCAGCTCCTGTTGCTTCACAGTACTCCTTTGTAACCTCTGCAATTTCGGTTACACTTTTTTGTCAGTGCAGAAAACGGCAACGTCATCCGCATACGTCGAAACGTTTATCTCTACCATGTTTAAAGTATATACTATAATATTTTTACTCGCCTTCAGCCTTAAACAGAAGGGTTCCAAGTACAAGGAAAACAAAAGGGTCGACAAGGGACATCCCTGTCTCACTGATGAGCCAGTGTTGGGGGTAACGCGTTACAAGTAACGGCGTTACCGGTAACGCCGGTAGTTTTTTTGTTAACGTATTAACGTACTCGTTACTTTTCCAAAGAAGTAACGGGTAACGAACTTACGTTATTTATTTTGAGTAATGTGTAACGATATTACGTTACGTTAATTTACTTCCTAGAACTTAAAAAAATCAAATTTTAATTTTTTTTGTGTTTTTAAATGCCCAGTCAGAAATTCCTTAATCAAAAAATGCCGCTGCCACTTTTTTTTTTTTTTGACGTCGGTGCTCGTCAGGTTTGACGTCACACGCCATCTGCCACTGGTTTCTCCCGCGGCTCGTTGACCTCGCTACCGCCGTCGCCTGGCTGGAAGGCCAAAGAGGTTCGGCTTCGGGTGGATTTGGGAGATTCCTGCGCCGAAGCCTGCGTTTCGCTTCCCGCTGGGAAAGAGGATGACACCTTCGTGTCATTCCCTTTCCCGTTTTCGGGACTTCAAAAACGGAGGAGGCCTTGAGCGATTGAGCGACAGCCAACAGAGCATGTGAGTGGCTCTCCGGACCTACGGGATGAGCAGATCAAGGCCGCCGTGGAGGGCAAGGGCGAGATTTGACAGGGAAAACTTTCCCCCGGCAAAAAAAGAAACAAAAAAAAAAACAGTACGACCGGAAGCAGAGCGCCGAACGATTCGTCGAAGTCGTGTCGCCTGACGATTCTTGTAGTGTCCTGTTTGGACAGGCAAACATTCCTGCTTTACGGAAACCCCAACGCCACGCCCATTGACCTGCTTCGGCGAACGCTGTCGCGGGCAGTGGCAGGCACAATGATAGAAATCCTCCGAGGTCTACTCCTAATCCTCCGAGGAGAGAGGGTTCAGTTTTTTGTACTATCCTAATCTAACCCTTTCGTTAGATTAGGATAGTAGAAACTTGTTCACAGCAACTATCTGTACTTCGACATGTTGTGAATAAAATATATTCAATGTTTCAATCTCTGCTGGTCTTAATTTCTGTGCTAATGAGGGAGACCTGTTCTTCTGTTAAGTTCCGTGCCAACATGCTATAAATCAGCTTCATATATACTTCCGCGTTTTTTCTTGTAACTATTCGGGTGAAACCCTAAAAGAGAGGGTAATTAAGTTTCCGCATGGACATATTTTAGCTATGGCGTTTACGCAGATATCAAACGTCGAAACAGCAAATGTTTTAGTTCGTGAATAAAAAGTAACGCAACAGTAACGTGCGTTACTTTTTATCAGTAACGGTAACGGTAACGCGTTCCTTTTATTTTGAGGTAACGTAGGTAGGTAACGCGTTACTTTTATTTGAAATTAACGAGTAAGGTATTTAGTTACTTTTTTTCGGTAACGCATACAACACTGCAGTGATGACATTACCGGTATACTTTTTGATACATTGTTGTTTAGTACAAGCCTAGTAGTACATCCTCTGTACGCCATAATTACGCCTTTCGTGATAACACCCCCACATTGACATGTGTTAGAATCCTTTCTAGCACGTCATGTCGCACACGATCAAATGATTTTTCTAAGTAGAGTTGAATTATGGCCATTTGGCCGTCAACCTCTGGAGATTCTAATAGGCTTCTTGCAACGTGTATGTTTGTTAGTATTGATCGTCCTTTTATACCGCAGGTTTGATGGACGCCGATAAGGCTTTATATAACGCTTTCGAGTCTGCGCGTGAGGACTTTCGTAAATATTTTATGAACTATGTTGCATAACGTAATTGGTCTGTAACCCGTAACGCTACGTCTCTTGACTGTGTCATCCGATTTGGGAATCAAGACTGTCTGGGCTTCAGCAAATGAGCGCGGCAGTTTCTCTATCGTATGCCTCTCTAAAGATAAGAAATAATGAAGGGCTACTTTCTTTTTTAAACAATTGGTAGAACTCCACGCAAAGACCGTCAGGACAAGGTGTCTTTTGCCGTGCTAACGAGTCGATGGCTTGTTCAACTTCACCTATGGTTATACCTCCTTCCAGCCATGTTTTCGTCTCATCAGTTAGATGAGGCACGAGCAAAAGAAATTCGTCTAGTTTTGAAAACCCTTTTGGAGGTGACTTTTTGCCAAATAGTTGCCTATAATATTAAACAAAGGCACTTTCAATAACATCATTATCACTGCTGATCTCCCCATTATATTCTATTTCGTAAATTTCTTTAAAGAGGGCATACCTTTTTTCGTCAGCCAAGGCTCGCTCGGTCGGTTGCTCCCCTAGAAGGAACTTTTCGGACCACGAACGTAAAACTGTCCCTTTATATTTTTCTTGGTCTAACTTTTCTAATTCAAACTTGACAAATCGTATATCCTCAATGAATGCGCCAGGATTTGCACTCTCTTCCTGGTAAAGGGACTGTAAGTTTCGTTGCTGTTGACGCCCGCGAGCTCTAAGCTGATACTTAATATTGCTTGACCTTTCAATTGCTGCCAATTTAACATTTTTTTTTTAATTTCCCAAGATTCATTTAGGCCGATGTCTGTTTCCCCCAACTCTTTTAGGAGCTTGGATACATTAGCCACAAATTGTTCATCTTTTAGAAGTGCGGTGTTGATTTTCCAAAGCCCCCGGTTGAATTTAGAGTTCGTGTTTTGTTTGTTCCCTATATGAACGGTTACAAGGCAGTGATCGGTAAAAAAATATCGGTTTAACGCGATATCCGCGTACTTGCCGTATGTCAACGGACACATAAATGCGGTCCAGCCGGGCGCATGATGAGGCTTGAAAATGAGTGTATCGATATTCATTCCTTGCTCCATTCAAGGTGCCTACGTCATCGAGCGCACATGAGTCGACAATATCTTTTAGGAGTGCCCCACTACTATCGCTTCTAATCAACGGCGAGGCTCTATGACGTTCATTGCAGACACAGTTAAAATCGCCCATTAAAACCACAAACTTATCGGATTCCACATAATCGCACAAGAATCTAAAAAACACTGTTTTCGTTCCCGCACATTATTAGGTGCGTAAGCACATATTGTCCGCCACGGGTCGCCTGACACTGTAAAATCACAACAGATAAAACGACCGCACTCGTCTGTAATTACATGGAGGTTTGATAGTTTCACAGACTTTTTTAGGAAAAGAAAACATCCCCCCAAAAAGCCCACGGCGTGACTCACGCACACTTTGTATCGAACAAGAAAGGGCTTCCGCGTTTCAGCAATGTCGTTATCTGCTTCCAGTTTCGTCTCTTACACTGCAAGAAAATCTGGTTGCTCATCAGATAAAACACGTTGCAACTGATACTGTTTTCTTCTTGAATTTAACCCCCGAACATTTAAGGTGGCGAAACTGAGAGACATGCTAACTTTGTTGGAATCGACCCAGCCCCGAAAAGGTAGCAAGTATTAACCAAATGGATCGCACATGACACAAACAAAATAGCAATTTTTGTCCGTCTTACTTGCATTGTGACACAGGTTCCAGGAGCCACGGCTACCATACAGTTCACCGCGGGTCCCTAGATGTTTGACTAACCGATGGGGCTTGAGGTTTCTCGTGGTAACGGATCCTCTTGGCCAGGGCCGTCCGCCATCTCTCTTGCACCGTCGCCTGAAGACTCGTCGGTTGGCCGCCCTCCTGCGTTGCTGGTGGTTCCATAGTTCGCTTTGCAGAGCCGTTCAAGGCTTCCATGTCGTCAGCGTTGTCCTCTTCGTTTTCCTTGTCCACAAGGGCCTCCGATACTGCTTGTGAGCCGTCGCCTTTTTGGACTAGGTTCGAGGGGCAACAGGCGGCGTGCTGGCTCGCTGCCTGCTGGTTGAGCGACAGCCGTGACCGTTGGCGATTCCGCGGCGAACGATGTTGTCGGAGGATCGGCAGAAGTGCCCGCGGTTGCACCGTCCCGGCTGAGTGGCTCGAGGCTTTCAGGGGCTTCACCTGCCGCTTCTTCAGCTTCTGCCTGTTCCATGACGTGCTCTGCCATGTCGTCCTCTATTACGAAGTGCGCCACATCTGCGTACGTTCTCAGGCACTCCTCCTTGGTGTGCCCAAAGCGTCGGCACCTCTCGCAGCGAGGAACACGGCATTCCTTACGGATATGGCCTGTCCTTCGGCAACGAAGGCAGAGTAGTGCTCTTCCTGGTGCAAGTACTAGGGCCGTGCATCCGGGCAGTCGAAGTTGGTGCGGCAAGTGTTCAGTGGTGACGCCGTCCTTCAGCATTAATCTCACAGTCCTTGTGGTCGAGTGCACCCCCTCGAACCGGCTGACACGCCACGTCTCCCTGATGACTTCTACCTTGCCGAACGGCTCTAGGGCTTTTTTAATGTTTTCGTCGGGCAGATGGAAAGGTATCCAATGCAACTTGAGCCTCACCTCAGATCTGTTCGGATCAATCACCCGACACCCAAACCTTAGAGGTCAAGGGGAGGCCCCTTGACCTCTAAGGTTTGGGCATTCAGCAACCTTTGCTTAGCAAATAGCGACTTGAGGGTCACCATCCATACGTGGTCCATTTGGTAAGAACCAAACGCCTGGATGTCTCCAAGCACTCCGGCGTTCTTGAGACCGTTCTTAAAATCCTCGATGCGGTAGGGACGTGCACCAATATCACAGTGCAGAAAAACGGAGTTTAAGGCGTGAACGCCCATTGGCAATGGTGGCAGAATGATCCGATAACCCTCGTTGCTTCGCTCAGCCGAGATACCACGGCTATCAGTAGCCGTTAGAACCGCTCCTATGGAGCTCATGACGATGTGTCTTTCCACTTCGGAAACCGGAAAACCCTAGACCACGCAAGGCACGCTTGCATGGCTTAGGAACGAGTGGGAGTGTATATGTTTATATGTTTCGCTATCGCGTTCGACTCAACCACTTTCAACTTCAAAATACCTTTTGCAAAAACGGCAAATGAAGGTTGTACCGAAACCACCATACATTTTCCCCGCGCCTTCTGGTGGGGTGACGCAAGAGAGTGTAAAAGCGTGCGGCTTGGATAGGAACTATAAAAAGAGCAACATGTCAGGTTTTGTTCTGTTTTTTTTTATCTGCGCGAGTCATTTTTTTTAGGATTCTATTCATATCATTATTATTTTTGTAACTCGTCGGGCACAAGCTCACTCACGTTTCCCGATTGTAACGTTTGTCTTCATGTCTTGAGTGTTTCCAAAAAAAAAAACCTCTTGAAGAAAACGAAATAAAAAATATGTGAGGGTTAATTTTGACAATTTAACAACTTCTGGAAACAAATATTGTGACTTGTAACTTGGGTTACGATATTCCGTTTCATACTTATACAAAGCTATCAATGCTACTGGCGCGTGCGCGTGGTTTTATGTATGATTTCGTTTGCGTGAGAATTCGAGCAAATGATTTGCGAGATCAAGCCCCACGCTGGCGCCTGCAGCTTTGACGGCGTTGTACACTAGGTATAAAACATATCATAGTTCAGATGTCTCTAATAATGTGTCGTACCAATTTTGAGGCAAATCAACGGTTATGAAAATTTCGTCGGAACTTTCGTTGAGATGTATGATGTGCACATTTTGTGGTTTCCATCCTATCTTTTTAATAACATTACGAGGCTTATTTTTATATTTATGTCTTGCAGCGGATGAATTACACCAGCTCAACAGTACATTAAAAACATTCGGCATCAAAAAATGGCCAATGATGCTTAATTCGACTGAAACTATACTCTGGACTGACATCTACCGAAAAATTCGTATTGAGGGAGACATGTCGTTTATTTTTAGTATCAATCTTAAACCTTACTTTCGAAATTCATCGCAGCGGGCCATTTCAGTAAGTAACTATTTGAATATTATCATTCGATTTTAGATGTTTTCAAGAAGCTTCCAGACTTAATAATATGAGTTCAGGAATAATAAGGGAGACTCACATATATTATAAGTTCATTGCCTTCTCACAGCAAATTCTTTAATGCAGAGGCATGGATAGGGGGAGAGTTTGGCCCGCAGGCCTGCATTGAACGTTTCATCAGTCGCTATCAGAGGGCACTGGCGCCAGTTGGTCTTCGTTTATTAATATCGCTGCCATATTTACGCAAGTTCAGGTACTCTTGTGGTAGTGCATTGAACTGCAATTAGGCGCGTCCTCTGCTCGAGGTTGAAAGGCTATCATTTAAAGTATTTGCGAGTAAATACACCCCAGTGGCCGAAGTATCCGTAAATGCCAATTTTAATGTGAAGTCCCTCTTGATGACTGTAGCGCCGGTCAGGGGTTCCCCAGGAATCGAAATTAGGGGGGCGTGTCGAAATGTTTAGTGGGTGGGGGGGTTAGGGGGGCATTGAGTATAGAGGATTTGTCGCGCATTAAGGGGGTACCTTCAGAAAAAAAATGACCCCATCTCCACGTGGTTAATGATGTTGATTGGGGCGAAGCTCTGGTGGTGCTAATGATACTGATTTTATTGTTCATAGGTAGTGCTGATGGTGCTCATTTTTTCTTTATTGCTCATAGATAGTGCTAAGTTCCGGGTTGCCGTTTCGACTTCATTATTAGTGCTTTATGGTCGGTGAAATGCAGAGCCAGTGGTTCTTCTAGCGGATCAGCCTGGATCAGCTAGAGGCCGTGGAAACGCATCTCCACCACTTAAAGGGTAACTGCAAAGAAAAAAAAGTTTTTTTTTAAATAGCCTAATTGGGACAAGCATGTCAAAAAACAATTTTTCCGCTAGAAAAAAATTTTTTTACAGCAATATTTATTGCGTGAGACTCATTTTAGTTTGCGGCTATTTCGTCCGTTTTAAATCGCGCGCCACGAAGTTGTGATTATGTGACGTCAATCCCAAAAGGTTCTCATTGGCTAAGAGTTTGATTGACAGCTTAGATCTTGGTTGTTAAACCTTTGTCATATGTTGTAATTTCCTTTTGAGCGGCATATTTTTACGTTTAAAGAATAACCCATGTGATGAGAGTTATTATTCTTTACAAAAGGTTTACAAGACGGGCACTTCCGTTTGGATTCATACAAACAAAAGCTTCGCCATTCTTTCATGGCCGCCGAAGTCTCTGCTCCCGCCTGTCTCGCCTACCTCGACTAATCGTTTCGCCGAAGTGATCAGTGTTTCGTCGTTTCGTGCTGACTCAGGTGCTTGAGTGAGACTTCTTGATGTGAAGTAGTGTGTGTTTAGCAGCTGTCGCAGGTGTAAGTGATAGGATGCGACGCGGGGTTTTGGCTTTCATAGCGCGGTTCTTTCGTTTTCCTCTTTGCATGCTTAGCGTGCTTTTTTTTTTTTTGTTTGTTTGTTGTGCTTGTTTGCGCGTGCGAATGCTGACTTTTTGGAGATGTCAGATGCGTGATCCCGACAGTGAGCCTTCCAGCAGCCATGTCGCCCCGAAAGGAATGCTATTTGGCTGGAGGCAATCGGGCGTTCGCGTAGCGACCAACGTGTCTAGCTACGTTCTCGTCATATCGCTCTGGAGGCCGTCGAGATTCGCCCCGTGTGCACCTAACGTCCGCGACTAGACAGAAAATAAAAAAAGCACTATGTCCACTACGTAAAAATGGTCTCAGTTCATGCATCTGTAGGCAGGTACGAAATCGTGCCCAAATTTATTCACACCGCACGATGCAACACGTCGCTGTGCAAACGCAGTCCAACACGAAGCATAAAAACGGCAGATTTAGGACAACAATTCGGAGTCCATTGTTCCATTAAAACGACGTAATTTTGTTGAAAACGCCCGCAGCTTTTTACTCACGGTATGTGTCGGGAAACTTCCACATTTTGAAACAGAACGAGGCAGATTTACTTTTAAAAACGCTCGCTGCGCCCTCCCGGACCAGTTCGACTGGATCAGCTGACGACGACGGGACTTAACTGGTTGAACGTCAACCCCACAACAACCAATTTTCGCTCCGTGTTAGCACCGCATTACACACACCACGAACGTTTCAGCTCTGTCGCATCGCCGTGTTGCACCAAACAGAACGAGATCGCCGAAACCAACGCAGCGCTGTCGTGAACCTTGGCTTGTGGTTGCGCACTCGTGGATTCTGTGACTCTCTTCGCTTTCAAAGCGCGCACGACGATTACGAACGATACTTTCCGTCTTCCGGGAACATCACAGGGGCACTTCTCCGGTCACATCTTCGCCGTCTTCCCTACATGTGCTCGCAAACCGCGTCAAACCAAAATAATACCGCGGCTTGGCGTAGTTGCCAGATCTTGCCGGAAGTCGAGAGGCTGCGTCGTTCAACTCCGCAACGCAAGGAGGGTGAGGGGCGGGGCGTACTCCTCTTCCGCGGGGGTCGAAAGAGCGGGAGTTTCAAATGTGGAGAGGTTCTGACTCTACTAAATTACGTCCTGTGGCGTAAATATTGATAAAAAAAATAATTTTTTTCGCGGAACATTTGTTTTGTGACATGCTTGTCCCAATTAGGCTGTTTAAAAAAAAACTTTTTTTTCTTTGCAGTTACCCTTTAAGTCAACGGTCCATGTCAGAAAGATAATGTGTGGTATGTAACGCGGTTATATACGCATTTGAGCAATTGACCGCAGCGCCCTCTCGTCTATAAACGTTGAGCCAATGCATACAAAGTTTAACGCGATTATATAGGCATTTGCCCGCAGCGCCCTCTCCTGTAGAGACGTTGAGCGGCTACATGCAACGTTCCATCTATGACAGAAGCCCCAGCTCTTGAGTTACTACCATATCTCAGAGCCCCCTACTCGTCCCGCAGTCGTGGCCGAGTGGTTAGGGCGATGGACTAGAAATCCACTGGGGTCTATCCGCACAAGTTCGAATCCTGTCCACTGCGCAAACATTTTTTTTCTTTTTATGTGAGCACGGACGCCGGACGGACAGACGGACGGACAAGGCTAAACCCTAAGGAGCTTCGCCCCTAAAAGGGAGGATGTACATTCCCTTTAATGGGTGCGCAAAGATATCAATGGCGCCGATACCGCAGGAGTGCTCCTGCCCTTGCTAGCAGTGGATCGCGCTGACGTGTTTCAACAGATACGCCTGCCGCACAGAAACACTGAGAACAAATATCGGGCGCGGGAATCTTATTACAAGAATACTGTTTTCGTTAATAATTGCTTCCACTTCGAGAGTTTACGACTGCCATATGTTGAATGAAATCTGAGTAAGTGTGTTGCGCCAATACCGCAACAGTTCTGGTGTCCGCGCCAGTAGTGAAATGTGTGCACTACATATTTCAACAGGTACTAAACGGATACAGGCGTGCGGTCGTGTAATTACAGCTGCGTGGAGAACGCTAAAGACCTCAAGATAACAGACAAAGGCCGCGCTGGTTAAAGTTGCCCCTCCACATCGTTGAAAAACTGCTGTCATGTGAGGCAGATCAACATATCACTGTTTAAATGTTCACAAAGTTGTTTTCTTTCTTCACTAATCACTAAAGGGAAAGACAAAAAAAAAAAGAACTGAAAGTGTGCACAAAACTTACAAGATCCTTTCGCTGTTGAAGAACGACTGAAACGGGCGTAATTCTACTGAACGCCATCGCTTTGCGGCCGGGTGCAAGTTCAATAATTATTGCTAAACAGAAGTTTTTTATTTTTTTTTTAGAGCGTTATTTTTAGGCGTTTGTTTCCTGGTTGAGCGGCATCGCCGTCAGCGTCGGCGTAACAGCGTGCTTTGTCTTATAGGAATAATGAAACCGGGCGTAACCGCGCGTTGCATTATGAAAAATTTACCCCCTAAATTTAGCGGGAAATTTAGCGAAAATTTCCGCTAAATGGAAGGAGAGCAAGAGAAGAGGAGGGGAGGATACGGAGGGGGAGGAGGGGCGTACTCTCCCCTCCGTACCCTCCCGTGATTCTCCTCGAGCTGCGCTCTAATTCGGCATTACAGAAAATTGTAGACGTTTTTTATTTTTTACACAAAAATACAAAAGCCCGTCAGCCCGTCTCTAGGCTTGAAAAACGAAATCGAACAGAAGCATTCTGAGAGCTATAGGTTACAGCCAGTGGAGTAATTGATGTTAATCGTCAAGGTACTGCAAGTTGCTAAGAGGGTATATTTTTTTCGAGAAGGACAACGTCATGCAACACGTCTTTCTTTAATCAGATCGTTATATTTTTTTTAAATTCTTCAAGTGCTGCGGTTTTGATGAAGACTTTAGTTAGCCATTTCAGGAGAGAAACCATTAACAAAGCAAATAGATAACGTACAATGGGCGGGAGAGCGGTCAGCAGCAGCATCCAACTGAGCACTGCCGACTACCATCAGTACCACACGCCAACAGCATAAGTGTCAAGAGGCGGATTATGGTGGATTATTAGCTGATTATGACCGCATTCGGTGACTCTACTTTTATCCTGGATCACTGGATTAGAGCAAGGCAGGCGAGGAGCGAACATCCCCCTCCCTCATATCCTAGCAGCAATGCCGAGCTGTACAGTGCGTGGAGGCCGAATATTTTCGGGTCAACATCTTGGCACCGGGACTTGGACCGGCTTGAATCCAGAAGAGCAGTAACCGTCCGCCGTGACTCATCGCTTACCTTCAAATCGCGATAATACATAGCCGCACTTTCACCCTCTTCTTCTCCTCTTGACTTTTCTACTGCAATCATCGTCCAAAAACATGGCAGTGACTATGGTAAGCACTTCTGAAAAAGTTACTTGTTATTATCATTTGTTACTTTATGGAAGACGACAAATTCTTGATAACACATCCCTCAAGTGCTTTCACAAGCCACCTAAAACGACTCACCGAGCTGTGTAGTCGTCACGACCACCTATTCTTACTTTAATAAGGCCCTTAAAAGTATGATAACAAGTGCATTAGCGGTCACACTCAAATCGT